ACTTGATAAGAAGGGGAAGGGGAAAGCAGTCTCTACTCCAAAGAGCAGAGGTATTGGAAAGAATGAACTGAAAAACTTAAAATCCAACCTAAATGAAGAGGTGGAAGGAAGCAGAAGTAGAGGGAGGAATCTAAGCCTAACTTATAAATGAAAGTTAACTTGATTACATGGAACGTAAGGGGGATGAACAATCAGAATAAGAGAACTATGGTGAAGAGTCTAATGAAAAAGTGGAAGGCAGATGTTTATTGTTTACCGGAAACAAAGATTAGCAAGGACTTAGAAGCAATGGCCAAACAGCTATGGTCATGTAGGTGGATGAAATGCGGTTACTTGGAAGCTGAAGGCAGTTGTGGGGGGATCTTGTTGCTGTGGGATAGTAGAATCTGGAGTGGGACCCTTGTTGAAACTGGTCAATACTCCATTATGTATGAGTTTGTATCAACTCAAAAAATTTTCACCTGGTACCTCACTGGAGTGTATGCTCCTCATACCAGAGATGAGAAGTTGATATGCTGGGAAGAATTGGCTGCAGTCAGGACTTTATGTGAAGGTCCATGGATTACATGTGGAGATTTCAATACCAATAGAACTATGGGAGAAAGAAGAGGATGTAACAGAGTTTGTGGCCTAGCTCAAGTGGCAAAAGGTGGAGGATTTGTGGCTTAGGTCGCAGGTTCAAGCCCCACACCATGCAAAGCGAAGCCCGGTATTTAAGTGGAGAAGGGTAGAGGGGCGGGCCCATTATCCACCGAGTTTAGAAGGCTGTGATTGGTTCAAAGGGCGGGTCACAAACGGATTTCTCGGTTATCAAAAAAAAAAAAGAAGGATGTAACAGAATCTCATATGTTATGTCTGACTTCTCAAGGTGGATAGAGGAGATGGAGCTACATGATCCTCATTAATGGTGGAAAGTTCTCTTGGTTTAGAGGCATCAATCATCCTAGTGCAGCTAGACTAGACAGATTCTTGTACTCGATGGAATGGGAAGAAAAATTCAAAAACATCAGGCAAAAGTTACTACCTAGAGTGCTATCTGACCACTGTCCTATCTTGTTAGAAAGTGGTAACTGGGAGCAGAAAAGATCGAACTTTAAGTTTGAGAATTGGTGGCTAAAGGTGGAGGGTTTCACCAACTTGATTCAGAGTTGGTGGAATGAATTTCTAGTGGAAGGTTGTCCTGATTACATATTGAATATTAAACTAAGAATGCTAAAGCAGAAACTCAAGGAGTGGAGCAAGTCAAATTTTGGGGAGCTCACTAGTAGGAGGAACTCGCAGAAATTGATTTGATACAAGAAACCAGGGAATTGACTGAAGATGAAGTGATAATAAGAGCCACCATAGTAGTGGAGCTGGAAGAGTTGGCAAAAACTGAAGAATCGAAATGGAGACAAAAATCAAGGGTTTTATGGCTGAAACAAGGAGATAATAACACAGAGTTTTTTCAGAGGATGGCAACAGCGCACAGAAGGATCAACACTATTGATAGGTTGATAGACAGAGGAGAGGTTGTAGAAGACCCTGTAGAGATCAGGAACACCATGATTAATTTCTACAAAGAACTTTACACTGAATCTGAGGAGTGGAGACCCAGCTTTGACCTTATGGAATGTCCAACTATTTCTCAGGAAGAAAAGGATTGGATGCAAAGACCATTTACTGAATCAGAGGTCTTGCAATGCCTACAACTTTGTGATGGAGATAAAGCTCCAGGGCCAGATGGCTACCCAATGAGTTTCTTTAAATCTTGTTGGGGAATTGTAAAAGAGGATCTGATGCTGACAATTCACAATTTCCATCAAAATGGAATTTTTGAAAAATCTTTCAATGCCACCTTCCTAGCACTAATTCCTAAAAAACCTGGAGCAGAAGAATTGAAAGATTTCAGGCCTATTAGCTTGATAGGAGGAGTCTACAAGATCATTTCCAAACTGATTACTGAGAGGTTGAAGACAGTAATGGGGAAGCTGGTTGATGTACACCAAATGGCCTTTCTGAAAGGAAGGCAAATCATGGATGCTGCACTAATTGCTAATGAGTTGGTAGACTCCAGAGTTAAGCAAAAAATTCCTGGAATTTTATGTAAGTTGGACATAGAGAAGGCCTATGATCACGTCAATTGAGCTTTTCTGCTGAAGGTTTTGAAGGACATGGGATTTGGGAGGAAATGGCTCAATTGGATAAAGTTCTGCATATCCATTGTTAAATTCTCCCTGATCATAAATGGAAACTCTGAAGGTTTTTTCCAATCACAAAGAGGTTTGAGACAAGGTGACCCTCTCTCACCTTTCCTTTTCTTGCTAGCCATGGAAGGCCTCAATAACATGATTAGAAAAGCAAATGTTAATGGATGGATTAAAGGCTTTAAGGCTCAGACTCAGGGGAATAGGGACAATGAGGTGGGGATTACTCATCTACTATATGCAGATGATACTTTAGTTTTCTGTGAGGCTGAGGTGATACAAATTAGACACATCAGAGCAATCCTTACCATCTTTGAAGGTATATCTGGTCTGCATGTAAATTGGCAAAAAAGTTTTCTCTATCCTGTGAATCAAGTGGATAATATGGAGTTGCTTAGACTTAGAAAATCTTGGCTGCCAAATAGCAACCCTACCTACAAGGTATCTGGGCATGCCTTTAGGAGCACAAAATAAGGAGAGAGCTGTGTGGAGTGAAGTTTTGGAGAGATGTAACAAGAAGCTTGCTAGGTAGGTGGAAGAGTCAATACCTCTCCCTGGGAGGTAGGTTGACTCTAGTTAAACCAGTCCTTGATGCCCTTCCTTCATACATGATGAGCCTATTTCCAATTCCAAAGAACACTGTGAAAAAGATCAATCAACTCAGAAGGTCTTTCCTATGGAATGGAAATAAAGAGCACAAAAGTTACCATCTAGTTAAGTGGGATACTCTTACTCTTAGCAGAAAGCAAGGGGGGCTGGGAATAAAAAAGCTCAATCTTCAGAACAATTGTCTCCTTCAAAAATGGTTGTGGAGATTCTGCATTGAAGATCAGTCACTCTGGAAAAGAGTCATCACAATGAAGTATGGACTACAAAGCCATTGGATTACTGAGGAGGCTCTTGGAACTTTTGGATGCAGTGTGTGGAAGACTATTAGAAGATTATGACCCCAATTCAAAGGCAACATCTCACTAAAGGTGGGAAATGGTAGGAAAATTGATTTTTGGAATGAACATTGGATTGGGGATGAAAGCCTGCAATCACTCTTCCCAGACCTGTTTATGCTCACCACTCAAAACAAGGCCACAATCTCACAACTATGGAGCCCTCAGGGTTGGAATCTCATTTTCAGGAGAGCTTTCAATGATTGGGAAACCGAGAGGGTCATTAATCTGTTTCAGATCCTCAATGCCTTCCCAGGCACCTCCACTGAACCTGATAAGCCTATTTGGAGATGGCAAAGCAAAGGTGTGTTTACAGTAAAGTCATGTTACTGCAGATACAATATTGGCCAAACACAGATCAGAAACTGGCCATGGAAGTTAATATGGAAGAAAATTTTGCTTGGTTAGTGTGCAAATGGGCCTGCTTATCACATGAAGTGCTTCAAAAGAAAGGCAGACAATTATGCTCAAGATGCTTTATGTGTGATCAAGATGCAGAAGTTAATAGTCACTTATTCCTTCATTGCAAAGTAGCTACAAGCTTGTGGAACATGTTTCTTGGTCTTCTTGGTGTATGCTGGGCAATTCCAAAGTCCACTAAGGATTTGCTCTACAGCTGGAAGGAGATAGGAAGAAGGGAGTCAAATGAAGATTGGTGGGAGTTAATCCCAGCCTGCATCTGGTGGTCCCTATGGAAAGAAAGGAACGGAAGATGCTTTGTGGATAAGAGAAACAACATCCAGAAAATTAGAATGAATTGCCTTAGTCTTTTGTACTTTTGGTGTAAACAAGATATGATGGGGGATATAGAACTTTTTGATGACTTCATAGGTAATTTGTAATCTCCCATAGGGTAGTTTGATATGCTCTGATGAGATTGTAAGTGACCTATGCTCATCATTTATTTGATGATGAGCCTTTTGTGAATACACAGTTACCTTTATCTCAAAAAAAAAAAAACCTTATATTCATAAAACCAGCATCACCTGCAAATAACTGAGGCATTGGAAACTTTGTAGTATAATCTTTGATTCCTTGTCCAATCTCCTTCAAAATCTCTTTTGGTAGATGAGCTTCCAATTTCTTTATCATCCATTCTTCCACCCCTTGGCTTTTCTTCCCCGAAAATAGCTCTTTGATCTCATTGAATGACTTGAATTGGTTGGTTACTTCTCTTGACACAGATCCCCCCTGAGAAACTACAAAGTGCAAAGTTGCCTGGATCACTTTCTTCGCAAACTCTGATTGTTTCTGGGGGCTAAATCTTTCATCCGGAGGGATGCAGCTGTCTATCTTGAACATCATCCCCTTCACATTTTCTGTTTGAAGAGTAACAGTTTAAGAAGAAGAATAATGCAGTCCGTATGATTTCTGTGACCAGAAAGTTATATTAGAAGGGAGAAAATTTCTTGCCTGAGTGAATATGTGGTTCACCAGTTTTTCCTCTCCTTGGATATGGATAGTGAATTGAACCTCCTAAAATAGGTCTTTCCCCTCGCTGACGATCACTGAGATCATTATAGAAATCATAGTCATAAGCCCGATGCCATTCTCTAATTCTCCCTGCAGTTCCATCTCCTCTCAATGTATCAAGTTCTTGTTTCCTCAGTTGCAGCAGATCATTTGGTGTTTGGCTTGGAAGATAACACTAAAAATCATAAGATGATCAAAGACGCTACATATCTGTTGCTGAATGATACTACATGTTATGAGAAATGCTTTACTCACAGTATTTGAGAAGAAAATCCTTTCCTTTTGCATTAAATGATTGGGAAATATCCAAGAATTGCATTCAAAATGAACCATTTGTTTGAATTCAACTTGGAGAGATAGTGATTGAAGAAAAAACTTGTCTTTGTGTTGGTTCCAGATGACAAAAGCTCCTGGAAATCCAAAATCTCGGTCAGCCTCAAATGTCAATTCATACTTAATACAAGTGTTGCCATTAGGCTTGTTGTGGATATGTTTCCCATGATTCAGGTGCACTTCTTGACTCAGCTTTCCTTTCCCCGTACCTATCCAAATGGAAAAAGGAACAGAAGCAAGTCTATTGTAAGAGATAGCAAAAACTAGTTGTCATAGTTATACACACACACACATATATATATATATATATATATCAAGTTAGCTCACTTGAGTCATTCAGACTATATAATTGAATACGAATAGGTTTTGCAAGGCCTGACTTTGCATGAGTATGTTGAATAATGATTTCTCCTTTAATGGACTCTGCATGTTTCTTGCTTTCAGACAGTTGAGCCTTGACACTTCCTTGAAACTTATTCAAACAATCAATCATCCTTGAACGTTGTCTCGTATGTACCATGGCTGGTGTCCAAATAGTATCTAAAATTTTCTGATCATCCACTTTATAAATGTGATATAGAGAAAGGTAATGTGAGGAGATGAATTTACAAGATGAGAAAGATAGTCATAGCTTGAGTTTTTAGCATTGCATCAGATTCATTGCCTTGCTTTGAGGTTTTCTTGCTAGTGCTCCACCAGATTCTTATGTGCTAAAGCACTAAAATTTATTTTACTAGAGGTATGCCTTTGAGTCCTACCAAGTTCCCATTTCTATGGGTTCAACATATAATAACATATATACATTTCAATTTTTTTTAATTAGTCTAGTGTTGAAGAATTTATAGGCCTCTGCATATAATGGATTGTGGGAGTAGAATGAGTACAATAGGATAAAACATATTTCATGTTAAGTATTTAAAGGTCCTATTGTTAGTTCAAAGTTTAATCTTTACTATTTTATCACAAGAAATGTAAAATAAAGTATTCAAAATCAGTTTCTATTGTTAACTTGACTAAGCAAATGTTTTAATTTAAAATGACTAATATGAATTGTTAATTGAGTAATAGAAGTGTATGTGTAATCATATATAATTATTAGGGAATTTATCCGCGCTTCGCGCGAAATAAAAAAAATTACACCACCTGTTTGGTCATAAGAAATTATAAATTAAACTTCTTTCTGAAATTTTTTACTTTATTTGAATATTAATTTGACCATGAAAATTTGAATTGAACTTTATTTATATTTTGTTTTAAGCAAATATAAAAAAATTATGTATAAAAATAATTTTTTGACAGACTTTTGACTATATATTTGTCCACCCAAGTTATTTATATATTTAGTCTTTGCTATTCAAGAAATATTTAAATGAAAACATGATATAAAAAAATTCTCAAAAAAACACATTTTATTGTATCACTCAAAAAAGAATATAAACTAAACAAATTTTCATTAGTTTTCTAATCATACTCACCACTCTAATATTTTGGATTCATGAATTGAAGATGTTTCAGGAAATGTTACTATTCATTTGAGTGCAGGTGTAAATATAGCGATTTTCAAATTATTTTATTATGTTATGAAGTTTTTTAAATTTTCAAAACACATAATATACAAAGTAGTATTATAACGAAAATAATATGTTCAATCTATTTGAGAATTTTTAGAAAAGACAATGAAAAAAATATGCATACTTCATTAACTTGGTATATAAGATATTAATCCAAATTAGTAGAGGAATTGTATGACGTATTAATAAAATAAATTAAATTGAATTATCATATTGAAAAAAATCAAAACAAACATGAAAAAAAAGAGATGCTATAAAAATTAAAAGCCACTTCATAAGACCATTTATTACATTTTCTTAAACATAAATTTATGTTAACATATTTATTGAATTTCAATTAACATTACAAGTTCATATGAGTTGCAATCTTTTCATCTCAACCGTTTTCTCGTATTCCTCATAAATTTACATTGAACATTCTATTATAAATATTAAGTACCAATGTTTTTGAATGAATACTAAATCATGTTTCAATCTTCATTTTTTTTTATCATGTGTCCAATTTATTTCACAATTAAAGTGTTAAATGAAAGCAGGGCGCAAATAATATTTTATTTCATAAAGAGGCATCATATCATCTTGTCTATTCCTATCGATATAAAATTATGTGTTAACTTAAAAATATCTAAAAATTGTCAATGCATACATTTGGCCCTATTAATTAATTAAGAATGTGTTGGCATAACCTTTCTAATACAAGTCAAGCTTTAAGACGATGATGGTTTGGATGGTGGTAGAATTGTCATTATTTTTGTCTTGACAATTATTTTTTCTTCCTGAAATCATTCGTCTTTTCATTTGGCCCTATTAATTAATTAAGAATGTGTTGGCATAACCTTTCTAATACAAGTCAAGCTTTAAGACGATGATGGTTTGGATGGTGGTAGAATTGTCATTATTTTTTGTCTTGACAATTATTTTTTTCTTCCTGAAATCATTCGTCTTTTTGATCTTTTTTGTATTGTTAGGTTTTTTTCCTTCCTCTTTTTGAAAATCGAATGAAAAAAATTAAGATTTTTTATTGAAAAAAAATATTTTTAAGTATTATGAATGAACACATGGAAAGAAATCAAGAATTTTTTAAGAAAAAGATGTTATGAGATTAATATAATATAAATTTATATCACTCATATCATTCGATGAAAATTGAATGAAAAAAATTAAGATTTTTTATTGAAAAAAAATATTTTTAAGTATTATGAATGAACACATGGAAAGAAATCAAGAATTTTTTAAGAAAAAGATGTTATGAGATTAATATAATATAAATTTATATCACTCATATCATTCGATGAAAATTTATAAAGTCAAAAGAATTGATGGAAAATAATTATAGATCATGAAAAATTACAAAGAAATTATTTAAGAAAAAAATTAAAGGCAAAGGAAGAGTACACAAAAGTTATTGCATGACGAAAACTCACACATCAAAGTTTCAATTCAACGTAGGAAACAATCACCTACTCAAAGTTATTGCATTCGGAAGTATAAATACATATCAAAATTCAAAATCTTAAATCAAAAGTATAAAATAATCATGCATTTATATTGAATAAAAGAAAAAAAAGGCAAAGAATAAAATGTTTTTTATACCTTAGCGCAGGTTTACTTTTCCTGTCCATAGCATTGGACATAACGATAATTTAAACCATTCTCAATGTTTTCTTCATCTAAATGAATCAAAGACAAACTGAAAGAAGAAAATAAAAAATAAAGTACTTGAAAAGTATTATATTTTTGAAACTCCGAAACATTTTTCACACTTTGCATATTTATACTACTTATAGAACAACTAAAAAAGAAAGAAGTGGACAAATTATTACCTTGAAAATGCAGCTTCATAACCAAAATAATATTTAATAGCAGAAGTTAGATTTTTGTCTCTTTGAATTCATTTGTAACAAATCTCATACTTATTGGGAGACAATGAATTTTCATCGTATATAATTACATTGAACAGTTACAAAGTATTAATGCATCTTTTCTAGACTAGAAGGTAAATGCAATTAGACGTAACTATTCAAGAATAAAAACATATTTCAAATTAAGCTAAAGAAGTAATAATATAAGTAAGAAAATAGACAAAAAAATGTATCCTTCGGGGTGGCCCAGTGATTTGGGCTTGGGATTTCCATGTTGGAGGTCTCAAGTTCGAAACCTCTTGCCAGCGAAAGCAAGAGGTTTGCCTTCTGGGTCGAGCTCGTCGCACCGGACTTGCCTAGTGCGGGTTACCTCTCCTATGTGGTTTGCGAGCTATTGCATAGGAGCGGAGTTTTTATCCTGTGCGCACCCAAATGGTAGCGGCTGCGGGTTTCCCTTGTCTTAAAAAAAATAGACAAAAAATGTAGAGAGATAAGATAAAAAAGTTTTCTTATTCTTCCAAGTATATTCAAGTGTTTCTTAAATCTTCAAGACCTCTATTTATATTGTTACATAAAGACATATAAAGGATAACAATAAACATGACATTAGTTCTTGAGAATGTGGGAAAAATTAAGGGGTGTGGAAGATAAAAGAGGAGGTGGTGGAGGTGTGAGTTTATTACACATAATGGTGGCATTACATCTTGAAATTATGGACATCTACATTAATATACCATATTTACAATAAAACAAATTATTCAACAATTATATAAATATTAACTACATTAAAAATAAGGAGAATTACAATAAAACATTGATTATTCAACAATTATATAAATATTAACTACATTAAAAATAAGGAGAATTACAATAAAACATTGATTATTCAACAATTATATAAATATTAACTACATTAAAAATAAGGAGAATTACAATAAAACATTGATTATTCAACAATTATATAAATATTAACTACATTAAAAATAAGGAGAATTACAATAAAACATTGATTATTCAACAATTATATAAATATTAACTACATTAAAAATAAGGAGAATTACAATAAAACATTGATTATTCAACAATTATATAAATATTAACTACATTAAAAATAAGGAGAATTACAATAAAACATTGATTATTCAACAATTATATAAATATTAACTACATTAAAAATAAGGAGAATTACAATAAAACATTGATTATTCAACAATTATATAAATATTAACTACATTAAAAATAAGGAGAATTACAATAAAACATTGATTATTCAACAATTATATAAATATTAACTACATTAAAAATAAGGAGAATTACAATAAAACATTGATTATTCAACAATTATATAAATATTAACTACATTAAAAATAAGGAGAATTACAATAAAACATTGATTATTCAACAATTATATAAATATTAACTACATTAAAAATGAGGAGAAAAACTAACAAATGCCCAAAAAAAGAGGAGAAAAAAGATAAATAGGAATGAAGGTCATAGATATGTGTCACATTACCTTGTCTACATTTAGCTTTATTATATATATATATATATATATAGAATAAAGAATCAAATAAATGGAGGAATAATAATTGTCATTTCTTTTTATATAATAAGAAAATACCCACAAGGAGAAAAAAAAAGGGAAAATTAGCAAAACAACAATATTTAAGTCTTTAGTGGGACTCATTGGCAACATTTTAACTATTTATTAAAATGACAATATTTTATTTTGTTAAAAGGATGATTTATGTATTTATTTTATTATGATAATCTGAAAGAATACAAATACTTAATAATAAAAAAGCGAAAAACATGGAACATAAAACATCAAAAAGGAAAAAAGATTTTAAAACTTTTCAGTTACGTTTTTGCAAAGCGTGGATGTTGGCTCACTTTCTGTGGAGCGTTTTTTGGTCTTCCATTGTTAATAATTCCAAAACAAAAAAATTGACTAAAAAAAGTTTTTTGTCTTCCTAATCATTCAATTGATAATATTCCTAACTTCTTATAATCGAATTCGGCATATTCTTAAATTGGATGTTTTTGAATTCGACAACTATAATTTCGTCAGTTCCATTGAATACAAGAAATTTAGACATCAGGTATTTAATTTTTGTTGTTTCTTTTGAATCGGTGAAATCTTTGTATGATTTGAAATTTTTATTGAAATTTCGACGTCAGTTCCATTGAAATCCATAAAAAGCACATGAACACGCTGAGGAACAATCATATGTTTTGTATCCAATATATGATGCATA